CCCGATCCGCTTCCTCCGCCACTCGCGCCTCCTCAGCCGCCCGCGCCGCCTCCTCTGCGGCCCGCGCCTCCTCCGCCTGCTCCGCCGCCCGCTCCGCCGCCCGCGCTGCCGCCGCCGCCGCCTTCTCCTCCTTCTGCCGCTGCCGCTTCAGCGCCCTGGCCTCGCGGATCTTTCGCTCCGCCAGCTCGTCGCGCAGCCGCCGCGCCGCCCGCAGCGCCTCCGAGCCGTCGGCGACCTGGGTATGCGTATTGATCGCCGCCCTGAGCGCCTCGAGATCGGCGTCGCCTCGCTCGCACGCCTCAACCGCCTCGCGCAGCGCCGCCTCGGCAGCACCGCGCGCCTCCGCCGCCTCCGCTGCCGCTGCCGCCTCGCGTGCGGCCGCCGCGGCGTGTTCGGCTGGTTCTGCGACCGCCGTCTCCCCTTCAGCCTCTGCTGCGGTCGACGAGTGCTCCTCGAGGGCGCGCACGCACTCGGCGTGGCCTTGCTCCTTGGCCCATTGAAGCGCCGTCTTGCCGTCAACAGTGCGCGCCGCATCTGCGCCCGCCCGCAGCAAGCGCCGCACGACGGCGGGGCGGTTATAGAAGGCGGCGTACATCAGCGCGGTGTAGCCTTTGATGTCCTGCAGGTTGACGTCAGCGCCGTGCCGCAGCAGCAGCTCGACCACCCGCTCGTGGCCTTGGTTGGCGGCGAGCATCAGCGCGGTGTCGCCCTCGCCGTTCTGCAGGTCGACTTCAGCGCTGCGCCGCAGCAGCAAGTCGACCACCCGCTCGTGGCCTGTGCCGGCGGCGACCATCAGCAGCGTAAAGTCGCTCCGCTCGCCTTGCTTGTACGTCGCGTCGACCCGCCCGCCACTGTCGAGCCACGCCAGCACCGCAGCCTCGTCGCCTCGCCCAGCCGCTGCGATGACCTCATCGGGGGCTGCCACGACACCGCTCGACGCCCACTCCGCCGCCACTGGCGACAGATTACCCGGCCGCACCCGCACGCTCTCGCCGCCACCCTCGAGCGCCACAGCATACCGCCCACCCTCGAAGCTCTGCGCCACGCCCCGCTGCCCGTTCAGCTCGGGACGGGAAGAGAGCCCGCCGAGCACGACTCGCTGTCCGAGCAGCGGCGCGTCCACCGCTGCCGCTGCCGCGCCAGAGGAAGCGCCGCCCGTCCCTACTCGGCCCTCCGCCGCCGCCACCGCCTCCGACAAGACCTTGACGCACTCGGCGTGGCCCATCTCCTTGGCCAGCTGCAGCGCCGTCTTGCCGTTCTCAGCGCGCGCCGTCGCATCTGCGCCCGCCCGCAGCAAGCGCCGCACGACGGCGAGTTGGTTGAAGATGGCGGCGAACATCAGCGCGGTGCCGCGTTTGCTGTTCTGCAGGTTGATCTCCGCGCCGTGCCGCAGCAGCAGCTCGACCACCCGCTCGTGGCCGTTGTTGGCGGCGCGCATCAGCAGCGTCATGCCGCTCACCTCGCCTCTCTCGTACGTCGCGTCGGCCCGCCCTCCGCCCTCAAGCCACGCCAGCACCGCCTCCTCCTCGCCTCGCCCAGCCGCCGCCACGATCGCATCGGGGGCTGCCACGACACCGCTCGACACCGCTGGCGACAGATTACCCGGCCGCACCCGCACGCTCTCGCCGCCTCCCTCGAGCGCCACAGCGTACCGCCCGCCCTCGAAGCTCCGCGCCACGCCCCGCTGCCCGTTTAGCTCGGGGCGGGCCGAGAGCCCGCCGAGCACGACTCGCTGCCCGAGCAGCGGCGCGTCCACAGCTGCCGCTGCCGCGCCCGAGGAAGCGCCGCCCGCCCCTGCCCGGCCGTCTGCAGCCGCCGCCGCCTCCGACAAGACCTTGACGCACTCGGTGTGGCCCTGCTCCTTGGCCCACTGCAGCGCCGTCTTGCCGCTCGCACCGCGCGCCGTCGCATCTGCGCCCGCCCGCAGCAAGCGCCGCACGACCGCGGGGTGGCCGAAGAAAGCGGCGCACGTCAGCGCGGTGAGGCCGTCGCTGCTCTGCAGGTTGACCTCAGCGCCGTGCCGCAGCAGCAGCTCGACCACCCGCTCGTGGCCTTGGCCGGCGGCGGCCATCAGCGCGGTGCGGCCGTCGCTGTCCTGCAGGTTGATCTCCGCGCCGTGCTGCATGAGCAAGTCGACCACCCGCTCGTGGCCTTTGTCGGCGGCGCCCATCAGCGCGGTGCCGCTGTGGCTGTTCTGCAGGTTGACCTCAGCGCCGCGCCGTATCAGCAAGTCGACCACCCGCTCGCGGCCGTTGTTGGCGGCGGCCATCAGCGCGGTCCAGCCGGTGCTGCTCTGCAGATTGACCTCAGCCCCACGTCGGAGCAGCAACTTTACCACCCGTTCGTGGCCGTTGACGGCGGCGCCCATCAGCAGCGTGAGGCCGCTCACCTCGCATCTCTCGTATGTCGCGTTGGCCCGTCCGCCGCCCTCAAGCCACGCCAGCACCGCCTCCTCCTCGCCTCGCTCAGCCGCTGCCACGATCGCATCGGGGGCTGCCACGACACCGCTCGACGCCCGCCCCGCCGCCGCCGCTGGAGATGGCGTCTTCGCGACTCTCGATCCAGCCGAGGAAGCGCCGCCGGAGGAAGCGCCGCCTGCGCCTCTGCCTCCGGCTGCCGTCGCCGCGGGCCGTCCCGCCACCACCTCCTGAAAGTGCTTCTTGAAAGCCTCGACGCACTCGGCGTTGCCCTTCTCCTTGGCCAGCTGCGGCGCCGTGCTGCCGCGTACATTGCGCGCCGCCGTGTCTGCGCCCGCCCGCAGCAAGCGCCGCACGACGGCGGGGTGGTTGAAGAGGGCGGCGGTCATCAGCGCGGTGACACCTTTGCTGCTCTGCAAGTTGACCTCCGCGCCGCGCTGGATCAGCAAATCGACCACCCGCTCGTGGCCTTGGTTGGCGGCGAGCAGCAGCGCGGTGCTTCCGATGCTGTTCTGCAGGTTGACCTTAGCCCCGTGCCGGAGCAGCAGCTCGACCAACCGCTCGTGGCCGTACATGGCGGCGCACATCAGCAGCGTGAGGCCGCTCACCTCGCCTCTCTCGTACGTCGCGTTGGCCCGCCCGCCGCCCTCAAGCCACGCCAGCACCGCCTCCTCCTCGCCACGCTCAGCCGCCACGATGACCGCATCGGAGACTGCCACGCCACCGCTCGACACCGCTGGCGACAGATTACCCGGCCGCACCCGCACGCTCTCGCCGCCCTCGAGCGCCACAGCGTACCGCCCGCCCTCGAAGCTCCGCGCCACGCCCCGCTGCCCGTTCAGCTCGGGGCGGGAGGAGAGCCCGCCGAGCTCGACGCGCTGGCCGAGCAGCGGCGCGTCGGCAGGCGACGTGCCAGCTGCTTCGTGCTGCATCCCCCGCACCAACGCTCAACGAGGCGCGGCGCGGAGCCGGAGAAGGCGCGGGCGCGAGGGCGCAAGCCGAGGTCGCCCTTGACGGGGGCGAGGCGCGGCGCGGAGCCGGAGAAGGCGCGGGCGCGAGGGCGCAGGCCGAGGTCGCCCTTGACGGAGGCGAGGCGCGGCGCGGAGCCGGAGGTAAGCTATGAAAGCTGATTTGTGAAGCACTGGCGTGCGATGTGAGTTGTCACTCTCGATGACGGAAGCGAGACTCGAGTACTCGACGGTGACGGCGGCGGCGACGGCGCTGGTGGCGGAGGCGCTGGCGGAGAGCTCGGCTACGGTGGAGGCGGCGGCAGGGCGCGCCCAGTCGTAGTCGAGGGCGGCGCAGGCAGGCATCTCACGCGCTGGCCAGAAGAGCGCCGGCCGTGCGAGGCGAGGCAGCGCACTTGACGGTGGCGACGCCTTGCTCGACGGTACAGCCGACGGCGACAGCTCTGGCGGCAGAGGCGCTGGCCGATCGCTCGGCTACGGCGGAGGCGGCAGAGCACGTCCGCTCGCGGCTCGGAGTCGAGGGCGGCGCAGGCGTCTCGCGCGCTGGTCTGAAGAGCGCCGGACATGTGGGGCGAGGTAACACGCTCGAAGACGAAGGCGAGACTTGAGTCCTCGATGGTAGAGCCGACGGCGACGGCGCTGGCGGCAGAGGCGCTGGCCGATCGCTCGGCTCCGGCGGAGGCGGCAGAGCACGTCCGCTCGGAGTCGAGGTTGGCGCAGGAGTCTTGAGCACTGGCGAGACGAGCGCCGGCCGTGCGAGGCGAGGCATCACGCTCGAAGACGAAGGCGAGACTTGAGTCCTCGACGGTACAGCTGACGGCGACGGCGCTGATGTAGCAAATTCTGAAAAAGGTTCCACCAGAGCTTGCGTGTGGCGGCGGCGGCTGGCGCCTTGGCTGGGGCGGCTGTGACTGGCGCCTCGGCCTCCGTTTGGGCAGAGACCTCAGCTGGTTGGTTGGCCTTGTGGGCGGCGGCCTCGGCTGTCGCCCTCGGCTCCCTGGGTAGTGGCCTCGGCTGTCGCCTCGTCCTCTTGTATGGCAGCCTCGGCTGGCGCCTCGGCAGCCAGGTCGGGGGCTGCGCCCCCTTCCCCCGGGCCCCCCCACGGTCGCCGCCCCGGAGGAGAGGTCCGACAGGAGGCGTCGGCGCCGGCCCGCAGCCGATGGCAGTAGTGAAGGAGGCAAGGGGCAGCTGACGGCAACGGAGCTGGGCGGCGACCGGTAGACTCGACCGAAGCAACCCCCCCAACACGAGATGGTCCGCATCGTCGGCACCCTCGCTTGGGACTGGGGTAGGGTGGGTGATTTGAAGTTGAAGTTGAGCTGCGCCGGGTCTCGGCGATGATGTTGTTGATGGACGGACCTGTGAGGACGGTTGTAAACCATCCATCGGGCTGCCTTCCGGGAGCGCCTGGCGGCCTTCCTGGAGGCTGTGCTGATGCAGAGGAGCTGGTGAGCGCAAAATGGCAGCCGCCGTTGATGGAGATCATGTCTGGAAGCGGCTCTGCGGGGACTGGCACTGGTGTTGGTCCAGAAACAGCGACGGCGAGGGTGACGGTGAGCAGGATGGTGAAAACGCAGTACCAGTAGACTCCGGAGCCGAAGGCGACGCGAGTCTTGGCGCGGGCCACGCAGGCCGCAGAGAGAGCGCAAGCGGCGGTGAACCGCTCGCGAGCGCGCACAACGAGCCGGCGGGCGGCAGTGAGAAAGTAGTGGACAAAGTTGACGGTGACGACAAAGATGGAGGTGGCGATGGAGAGGGCGAGCTGGATGATGGGCGGCGCTGAGCCGAAGATGGCGCGGGCGCAGGGGCGCAGGCCGGAGACGGCGCGGGCGCGAGGGCGCAGGCCGAGGTTGTCGTCGAGAGTGACGGGATCGCCAGAAGAGTCGGTGATGAGATTGGTCATTTTTTCGCTGCTGGGCGTGGCGGAGATGTCCGCCATGACCTCGGGGGTGGAGTGCACCTCACCGGAGGTACCACGTTTGAGCGCGGAGGCTCAGAGCCGGAGGGTGGCTGGCTCTATGTAGGACTGTAAAGGATCAAATCACTGCTTCACGCAAACGCTCGCAAGGGACGTAGGACCGTGACAAGATTGAGAGCACAAGGAAGCTCGAGTATTGACATCGGGGGCACGGCGCAGGATGCGCCGTGCTAGTACACTGTGTGTGGTATGTAGTGTGTGGAGGGTGGCACAGGCGTCCGAATTCAGACGCTCTGCAAGTGTCCGGCTTCCCCCCCCCCCCCCCCCCGGCCGGGGGGGGCCAGTCAACCGTGGAGGCGGATTAGCGGGGTCTGTCCGACTCGCTCGCTGCACGGTTGGCTGCGGCGCTCCGGCGCAAGCCGACGCTCGAGAAGTGGCGCCACTCTGCGTGGCTGCCCTCCGGGCTTGTCCTTGGCTCTCCGACATCGATCGAGCACGCCTGTCCGACGAGCGGCTTGCCGTGCGGGTAGCTTTGTGTGGCTCTTGTCGAGAGCGTTTTGCGGCCCGGCGGGTGGGAGAATATGTGTCGTCTGATGTGTCACTGTGTACGTCATATCAGTCTTGATAACAAGCACGGTCGATCCGTCGAAGCGATATACTCGTCACGTCACGCTGGACGGCTTGCACGGAACTCTGTGCCGGCAAAACAGGAAGAGCCGTCCGGCAAGAAGAGCTCGATAGGGAGCGAGAACCGTCAAAGGTGCTCACGCAGGTTTCCGACGTCCGTCCTGATGCGGTCAGTTCCCCCCAGGTTTGACCGCGCAGGTCTCAAAACTCGTCGAGCACTCGTAGCCTTTCTGCGACTCTCTGCGTGCTGCCGGCTCGGGAAGAGCAGATTTTGCAAGATATCTCAACGAGATCCGACATCTGCGCGGTCATTTTTGGAGTGATCTTACCGCGTCATGACGGAGTCTTGATACCTCTCGGAGCACCTCTAACGGTTCTCGCTCCCTATCGAGATCTTCTTGCCGGACGGCTCTTCCTGTTTTGCGGGGCGCGCTGAGCTCTGTGTCAAGCTCGAAGGGCAACGGAAACGAGTGCATCGCTTCGATAGACCGACTGTGCTTGTTACCAAGACCGATCTCACGTACACAGTTACACTCCAGACGTCCTGTACTCTCCCATCCGACAACCGGCAAGACGCTGTCGTGAGCCAGCCGCTCTTGCGGCAGCCGTCAGCAGAGACCGAGCGCATCGGGCGAGTGGAAATCGATATGGCGAGCCGGCCGTGGGCCCGGACGACGGCACTGGAGCGACAGATTTTGGCTGAGGCTCCGAGGAGGTGAGAGCGAGCTCTAGAGGTGAATCACGTGTTTTGGCTCTAGTCAAACAGCCGCGAGCAAGAAAAAGAAAAAATTGGCCCAACCCACAGCACAGCACAAGCGTGCTACGTGTCTACACATTCAAACAGCGCCTGAACGCATGGCGTTCAGGCGGCACTTCTCTCGCGTCGGCTCCGCCGAGCGCTGCACAGAGACCATCTTCACTGACCACCAACGACAGGTGTGCGACTAGCTTGGGATGTCCGTTGTCCAGCCCCCCTCCGTGTCGCGATGCGCTCCCCGCTCCCGTTCCCCTGTGTCCCTGATCGTCCTTACAAGATCCTGCTCGTGCAGGTGGGGACCCTGTCTGTCCTTCTCCCACCCCTCGTTTGGCGTGCCCGTTTTATTTATTTTATTCTCCCACCCCTTGTTTGGTGTGTCCGTTTCATTTATTTATTTTATTATCCCTGTGTGGTGGCGGCGTGCCGTTCTCCCATCCCTCCCTTGGGTTGTGTGTTTTCTTTCTTTCTTTCAAACGAGGCGATGCGCCCTCCCCCCTCGCTTTTGCAAAATCCTGCAAAGGTGGGGACGTGTCTGTCCTCGACCCAGCCCTAGCTTGGGATGTCCGTTGTATTTATTACCTTGAGGGTTGTTATTTTCCCCTTTAACACCTTTTAATTAGATATTACATATTAAATTGATATTAAAAATAGCGCGGATAGCATTTACCCATCTCACAGTAGAGAGGTGTCCGTTAGGTACGAGCGCCACGCTCTCCGCACGGTGACCGGCGCCATCCGAGATGGCTCGAGCGACGATTCGGCGGCGGCGGCACCGACGTTCGCCGCTCTGAGCGAGAAGCTGCTGCTGCCCTCCTGCCCATCCACCTTCACGATATGCCGGCCGGACTGTGCGTCATAGCCGACGATGCTGCCGCCGCGGCCGTTTAGCTCGGCGCGCGAGGCGAGGCCCGACACGACGCAGCGCTGCCCAATCGAGAGCAGCTCGTCGTCCATCAGCGGCAAGATCGAGAGCAGCTCGTCGACGACCTCGCGCTCGAGGGTCCTTCTCCCACCCCTCGTTTGGCGTGCCCGTTTTTATTCCATCACGCGCCTTGCCTTGGAAGCTGCCTGCCTGGAGCCACACCTGGAACTTGCCGTGGTGCTCGGCGTCATTTGCGTAGTCCTTGCGTTGCGGCATCGATGCGACCGACAAAGAGCCCGCTGGGGTCTCCCTTGCGATTGCCTCGGTGCCCCGCCAGCGTGCTTTTGTCATCATGCTGTCGTGCCTCTCCGCAGCCGCCGCGCTACCGCGGCCTCCGCCGCGGAAGGTGGCCCGCGCCTTCGCGAATCCCGTCTTGCGGCTTTTGCCGGATGCCCACCGCTTGGCCTCATTGCGGGGGCGGCCACCGGGCCGTGCCGTGGCCGCCCCCGTAGCTCGCGAAGCTGCGAACCGGGCTGCGTCCACTGCGCCGCGCCGGCGCGCCGCGACCGTCGGCCCCCGGACTCGGTTTTTCGCGGCCTGCGCCGGAGAGTTGGCGGTCGTGTGCTGGGTGGTGATCGTCATCTGTCTGCTCTGCTGTGCTTCTCGCTCGTGCGTCCTTGGAAGTTGTGCTGACCTCCTTTCACCTCCTGCTCTCCTATGCCACGTGGCTGTGTGTGTTTGGGTTTCTATGTTTGCGATTTGGATTTTGGATTTTCCATTGCACTTTGTTTATTTATTACAAGCGTGCTATGTCCACGGATCCCACGGTGACGGGTTCGTCTGTACACATTTGCGCAAGATCTTCTCTTGCTCCGGGCGCATACATTCCCACCGCTCTTTATACTCGTTTATTCACGAGGCGACCCCAGCGGGCCCGCTTGTAGAACCCACTGTGCGATCTGCGCCCCAGAGCGTTTTCGCCTCTGCCGGCCGCCCGTGAGCGCCCCCCGCGTGCATCTACTGGCTGAAAACGCGTCGTGGGCCAGCTCTCATACCCTCCCGCCCGGCCCCGGCGGCAGGTGGCGTCGCGCCGCCCGAAGCACCGCCCGCGGTGGTGCTGGTGTTCGAATGACAGAGTGACTGCGCTAGGCGGAGCCCGCGCTTCTCCTCCCTGCTCGATGTGTCGCTCAAAACTGTGCAGCCCTAGCGAGTAGGTACCGATGCGCCAGCATGCCGCGGGGCGACGACCAGCTCCGCTCGGCAAGTCCGCTGGTGAGGCACCTCCCTCGCTCATGACTCGCCTCGCCGCTCGAGTGGCACCTCCAGCAGGCTCAGCGGCGTGCGCGCCGGCCGCGAGGGCCGCCATGGCCGCGTCCGGATCGGTGGCGACCGCCGCGCCCGCGGGAGTGAGCGCGACCGAGAGAGAGAGAGAGAGAGAGAGAGAGAGAGAGAGAGAGAGAGAGAGAGAGAGAGAGAGAGAGAGAGAGAGAGAGAGAGAGAGAGAGAAGAGAGAGAGAGAGAGAGCCTGCAGTAGATATACAAATCGATAAAGTAACCCTTCGGGTCGCTCCTCTTCGCAATCCCTGTCAGCAGAGTCCTCCTACGGGAATGTACGTAAGACTAAGAGCTACATACACTGAAAATGCCCGCCTGCGGGCGGACCCTCACAGATCACAGACAGATACATGCATGTGCATGTGCATGCGCTGTCTCCCCCCATCCCCAGGGCCTCCAGGGCTCGCACCTCAACCTCTCACAGACCAGCGCATAGCGCGCGCGTTTTTCTTCTCATAACAAGGCTGTGCTGTAACAGTCCCGGCCGGCGCGTTCGGCGTGGCGCGTTTCGCGACAGGTCACAGCAGACCAAGATCGCCACGCGAGGGCGCCCAGCGAGCTACCAAGCGGAGTGGCCGAAGGATTTCCCTCAATCCATATCGGCCAGTGCGGTCGTCACGCTCCTTGCCACTGCGCCCCGGGGCTGGGTGGAGGTGACACAGCTCCGTGCCTTGTTTCGTCCGCGAAGCAAGGCAGAGCATCAGCAGCTTGACACCGCCATTGCCGCGGCGTGTGATCTAGAGTACCGGCCCGTCGGGAGGCGGCTCGCTCACATCTCCGAGCGGAAGCTAGTTGGCGTCCTCGTTCTGAAGGAGAAATTTGGTGCACCCGGTGGCAGTGGCCGCGTGCCAGAGGAGCGCACCAGCCGTGCACCGCCCAGCAAGGCGGAGGTGGCACGTGGCGAGACGGCGCAAACCAACCAAGTGCAAAGGGCTGCCTCCCGTTCCCAAAAGCGCCTTCCTCCTCACACTTCAGTTCATGCCGCCTCTTCCAACAGCGCCGCTCCGCTCGACCTCACAGCAGACACCACCGACACAACCGCCGCTTCCGATCTCGCTGACCAGCCTGTAACCGCCGTCCCCACGGCGAGTGCTATTGATCCAGAATCTGCCGACTCCGCCAGCCCTGCTACCGCCACCCCTGCCGCGAGAGGCCCTCCTGAGCCTTCTGCCAGAGGTCCAGCCGACCAGCATGCCGCCTCCACCGCTCCGGCCACCGCTCATCTTGACGCGCCGGCTACCGACTCGAGCATCAACAGCCCAGGCCACGTTGCAAGCGAGGCGCAACCAACACTCGCGGAAAAGCAGCGGGTGAGAGATGCGCTCGCGGCGGACGGCGGCGGGCGCATCGACCTGATCGTCGAGCGCCTCGCGCCAGCCTCCGAGGCGGAGCGGCGCAGGCTCG